CCCTCCCTCATACCCCTTTCCTCAGTCCTCACATACACGGGCATTGCTGAATATGTCTGACTGCCTTCTTCATCTTTCCTAGCTGAGGGTAAGAGCTTCCATTTTGTAGATTTATTTTTTATTCTGTTTTCAGAAGCGAAGTAGCAGGTCAATGAATGTTCAGAGCAAAAACAAAGGAAAAGAATGCTCTTCTAAGCTGCATGGTGTCTGTGGATGCTTCTTCAGACACAAGGATGCAAGCATCATTCCCAAAGTCCACATTGGCCTCTAAGCAGAGAAACCAAGACTCAAACTGAGATCTAGCTGATTAAAAAAAGAACTGTAATTTAATTATTTTCGTGTGATTTCTTTCTTCCTGTAGCTCCTGTAATTTGCTGCAAAATTCAAATTATGCATAATCTCAGAGTTATTAGACCTTAGATACCTGACATTCCAAGAGTAAGATTAGATAGATAGATAGATAGATAGATAGATAGATAGATAGATAGATGCTAGATAGACAGATGATCTATAAATAATAGATGAGTGGTAAAAAGATTGATGATTGATAGATTATAGATAGATGGTGTCTTAGGATCTTATTCCTGTGATGACACACCATGGCCAAGACAACTCTTTAAAAAAAGAAAAAAATTTAATTGGAAATAGCATACATTTCCAGAGATTTAGTCCATTATCCTCATGGTGGGAAGCATGGCAGCATCCAGGCAGACATGGTGCTAGAAAAGGAACTGAAAGTTCTACATCCTGACCCACAGAAAGCAGAAACAGACAATGTATTATCACGTTGGGCACAGCTTGAGCCTAGGAGACCTCAAAGTTCCCCTCACACACACACACACACTCTCACACACACATAAATAGTGTGAAACACTTCTACCAACAAGACCACACCTACTTCAACAAGGTAACACCTTCTAATAGTTGATCCTTATGAGACGAGCATTTAAACACTTGAGTCTATGGGGGCCATACCTATTCAAACCACAACAGACTAAATGCATACATGTACTGGCTAGCTTTATGTTGACTTGACACAAGCTAGAGACATGAGAGAGGAAGGACCCACAATTGAGAGAATGCCTCCATAAGATCCAGACCATTGTGGGTGGAGCCACCCCTGGGCTGGTTCTGTAAGAAAGCAGGCTGAACAAACCATGAGAAGCCAGCCAGTCAGCAGTATTCTTCCATGGCCTCTGTGTCAGCTCCCGTCTCTAGGTTCCTCCTGTTACTGTTCCTGCTCTTACTGTTTTTCATGATGAACTGTTATATGGAACTGTGAACAAAATAAACCATTTCCTCCCCAAGTTGTTTTTGGTCATTGTGTTTTCCTAATAAAGACAACAAATAATAAAATGGTAGATAGAAGATAGAAAGAGGATAGACAGACAGACAGATGATAGATAGACAGACACAGACAGACAGACAGACAGAGCAAATAGTAAAGGCAAATAGACTCATCTAGATCAACAGCTTAGATAATCATAATGAAGAATTCAAGGTTGCTTTGGGAACCAGATGGCTAGATCTAGAGATAGGCAGAAGTCTGCTCCTTCCCCAGATGTCTTTTCTCGCTGCACCGGACTGAGGAGTCTTTATGAGGTTGCAATGCCGTTCATTATCATTAGATTCAGCTAGATAAAAACGGAGGAGTGGGAGGCTTGAGATGAAGAGGTGGGGGGAGTAGAAGCAGACCTTACTCTGCACCCCAGGTTCCAGTATCCCTGGGGACAGCACAGACAGTGCAGTCCTCCAGAGACGCCAATTAATTTCCTCAAATACCAAATGACACTGTCTCAGTGATAGAATGAAAAAGGAGAAATGAAACTCACTGCTTGGATGCTTGAGTTTCTGTAGAAAGGATCCTCGGGCAGGCCACAGACATCCCCTTCCCAGCATGCATTAATTCATAAACAGGCTTGAGTTCTCCACCCCTGTGAGCTACACCATTTCACATCCCCGATGAAAACTGCGAGGAAGCCCCTAATTTTCACTTCAGAAAATGCTCACTGTGAAAATGCATTGGGAATTTAGCCAGAAGGAATTTTTATGTTAATTTCTGTTATGGAGAGAGGGTAAGGGAATGAAGGGGGAAAAAAAACTAAATTAAACGATTTCAAGACCAAATAGTCACTGGAGTCATCTCATTTTCTTTTAAGAAAACAAGCCCCAAAGATGTGCCCAGTAACATCAGAAAATCATACAGACATCTCTGCTTTGTGGGAAGATCTGTGGGCTGGGAGTGAGGCTCAAACGCTGCAGGATCTGTACATGAGCCAGGAGCACACACACAACAGTGCTGCATGATCTCCACGATCAGTGATGGACTCACCCATCCAAAGTCTTAGTGGCCATCCTAAGAGACTACCTATCTGTGGCTTGCTAGCTAACTCCCACCCAGTGTCTGACTGCTTTTTGTTCAGCCATCAAACTACATTATTAATGGTTGGGGATGGGGAGTCTTAAAGTTATAGAAGAGGCTTGGAAATCCTATGAAATTTACAGAAGTTCTCCTGGAGGGAACCAGACCCGTTTTCAAGGGTTCTGTCTTTACCGCTCCCTGTGTCCCAGGGTGGAGAGGAGTTGCTCCCACAGTGGCCTATGCTGCACAAACCCCAAAATACTCTTAATTTACACAAAGTGTTTTCTAAGAAAGCTGCCTCTGGCCTGTATCAACTTGACAGCCAGAAAGGTAACTTATTCAAGGTGCTTGAGAATAGGTAAGTTTTCCCCTGTTTTGTTTCCCCAGCATCCTTCACAGCATGCCCTCCCTTCCTAAACTTTGAAAAAGCAAACTGAGAGTCTGGGACAAATGCACAACAGTAATGTGCTTGTTTAACCGGGCATGAAGACTTGATTTGGGTCCACAGAACCCACATTTAAAAATGTTGGGCGCAATGGTGGACACTTGCAGTCCCAGCACCAAGGAGAAAGAGACCATAAGTTGTTGGAGCTCACCAGCTACCTAGTCTCATTTTAACTGGTAAATTCCAGGTCAGTTAGAGATCCTTTCTCAACGACCATGGATGGCATTGTTGAAGTTTATACCCGAGGCTGTTGCCTGGCCTC